CCATTCCTTTCTCCTGCTCTCACCAACCTGGCAATCGGGTGTTATCGCAAACAAGGTACAAACTACTGTTCTGCGGAAACCATGGGGTGCAATGCCAACCAGGAAGCTCTTAATGTTTGCCGAGGAGGCATCAATATTCAGGTGTTTTTTTTAACCTTTTATTACTTTTATTAAAAACTCAAGGTGGTGAACATGCCACTTAATACACCTATTTTGTCCACAACAACCATGTGAGGTGGGTTGGGTTGTGAGACAAGGACTGGCCCAAAGTCAACCAACCAGCTTTCATGCCTAAGGCAGGACTAGAACTCAGAATCTCCTGGTGATTGATTGATCCAAGGTCACCCAGCTTTCATGGCTAAGGCGGGATTAGAACTCAGAATCTCCTGGTGATTGGTCAAAGGTCACCCAGCTTTCATGCCTAAGGCGGGACTGGAACTCAGAATCTCCTGGTGATTGGTCCAAGGTCACCCAGCTTTCATGCGTAAGGTGGGACTAGAGCTCAGAATCTCCTGGTGATTGGTCCAAGGCCACCCCAGCCCGCTTTCAATCCTAATGTATGACTAGAATTCAGAGCCTCCTGGTTTCTAGCATGGTGCCTCCATCACTGGACCGAGCCGGCTCTCCGTTCCCCCCAGGCAGTTTCATTCTCAAGTCAGCAGAGAAGTAAACTCTGGTTTTCCCCAAGTCTCCAACCATTAAGCCCAGGGGTCAGCTACTTCTGGACTGAGTCAGAAAGTTGGTTGCTTGCGTAAGGGGAAATCTGAAATTGCAGAAGTGGCTTCTGCTGTGCTTTAGGCGGGTTTCAAAACCTATTAAAAATGAAACCCCTTTCAGATCTCTTCATAAGCCACTGCCTTTCTCCAATTTCTGATTGCTATTTCTTTTGCTGGTTTTCTGGAAACTGAGACTGAGATTGCAAAAGCCTTTTGTACACCAAGAACTGGCTCGCTTCTACCTCGAGTAACCGAGTTCTCAAGTTGGAAGAGGCCTTGAGGTCCTCAAGACTAACCCTTCTCGGTGCACAAATGCCAAGTACAGAGCCCACTTAAGCCTCTGCTTGGAGACTTCCAAAGAAGGATAACTTGGCCCTTCTCGGGGGTCCCTGGTTCTACTCTTCTGGTATTTGAGGGGCTGCCAGGGGGACTTACTCTCCAAAGCACCAGAAGGCAGAACAAGAACTCACGGGTGGAAGCTTATCAAAGTGAGAACCAACCCAGAACTAAGAAGAAATTTCCTGACAGTGAGAACAATTTTTCAACTGTGGGAAACGATCAATTAGTGGAACTGTTTCCCGCCAGAAGTGGTGGGTGCTCAGTCACTGGAGGTTTTCAAAAATAAGACTGGACAACCTTTTGACCCGCATGGTCTCTTGCCTTGAGTAGCGGGGTTGGACTAGAAGACCTCCAGGGTTCCAGGCCTGGGATTCTATGTTCTGTCCAATCATTCTTAGTCTCAGAACATTCCCTGCCCCCAACAAATTCTATCAGGATCTGTTTCCTTGTAGGTTAAGACCACAATTAGTCATTGTGTATTCTAGAACAAGGAAAAAAAAGGTTCTCATTGTTTTATATCACCCTTCCAAGTTTGCCGAGGGAAATAAATTGGAGGAAGGACTTCTGGTGGTCTGAAACCGTATTTTCATTGTTGGCAGCCTAAAATTAATTGCCTGTGCCGTTTTTTGCAGCTATAATACAGGGCTGGCTTAAAGAGTGGTGACAATTAACTCTTGTTTTAATGATTTTTCCCACCAGTAGCGCTAGCAGTAGGCACTCCCTGTTCTTTATCTGTGTGCTAATCACTATAATTTACAGAAGTGAGCCCTTAAAAAGGAGAGAACTGCAAAACCTATGATACATCTACCTCTAGAGTAGCTTGATTGACCAAACAGAAGATAGAGAGAGAAATTCTTAAGACGGAATCAGAATATTTTGGAAATAAGTACTTCGTTACAATAAACATGGAATTTATTTTATTTTTATTTGATCCACCAGCAAAGGCATTGTTATTTGCATGATTAATAAAGTTCTACAGATTCCTCTACATTTTTGCTAAGTAACCCAGAAGCATTCTTCTTCTTCTTCCCATTTTATTCTGGCATTTAATTGGAAAGAGGCACATCAACCAGCATAGAAAAGCAGTAAAACCCAACACTCACAGGGAAAACTATCTCTATAAATACAGATTTAGCTACCCACAAACATCTAATTAATTGTTCGAAGGTTGGTTCAGTGAATCATTTTCTAAAGACTGTACTCTAAATCATCACTTTTTTCACTTTTTAAAATATGAGGGGTGTGTTGATAAAATTAGGAAAACTAAGATGGATAGCTAATAATAAAAAATTATTAGCTATTCCTCTTTGTTTCTTCCCATCAGCCACAGTTTCAAGTGGTTTTGTTCCAAGATGGTATTGGCTTGGGCTATACAATTCTTACCCAACTCCCTGCTCTCCACATCATCCACAGCCAGCGTGGCATTTACAGGTCCATAGGCCAGGGTGGTAAACACTTAACTTTCAGCAATTAATAGGACTCTGGAAGAAAATACAAACCATTCCAGAAGTTCCAGCATCTATTCCGTTAAGTATTCTGCTACTTGGCGTTTCATGAAAAATCTTTTACGGGCTACAGGTACTTTGGCATTTAACAAAAGTGAAAATATCCTACATGTCAGAAACTGACAGTTCAAGACAACCCAGGCAGAATAAACAAAGAGTGAGAAAACTTGAGAATGGAAGAAGTTTTAAATTTGGGGACTTATATGTACTTATACCGTGGATTCAAGTATTGTTTTCTATTTTTACATCCTATTTTTCACCACTGTGTACGCACAATTCTTCAAAAGACTGTTAGGTTTTGGCCAAGAGGAGGAAACTACAGAAGATCCATGGCTACTTTTAACCCATACAGGTAGTCCTCGACTTACAATCGTTCGTTTAGTGACCGCTGGACGTTACAACGGCACTGAACAAAATGATTTATGACACTTAGAACCACCGCGATATTCCCCATCCCTATGATCAAAATTCAGACACTTGGCAAACCGTCTCATATTTATGACTGTTGCGGTGTGGTGATCCCCTTTTGCGACCTTCTAAAAAGCAAAGCCAATGGGGAAGCCAGATTCACTTAACAACCGTGTTACTAACTTAACAGCAGCAGTGTTTCACTTAACAACGGTGGAGAGAAAGGTTGTAAAATGGGCCCAAACACTGTCTTGCTTAGCAAGGGAAGCTTTGGGCTCCATTGGGGTTGTAAGATGAGGACTACCTGCGCCGATATTGTGGGTTTGCAGGCTGAAGAGCTGCTTATGGTCGTGTTTCTCAACCTGAAGAGGGTGGACTTCAATTCCCAGAATTCTTCCCTGCCTGGCTGGGGAATTCTGGGAGTTGAAGTCCACCCACCTTCAAGCTGCCAAGCAGGTTGAGAAACGTTGTCCAACGGGAAGGCCAGATCAAAAGCCGGAGGACTGAAATCCTGCCAGGGGAGTGGAAAGCTGGCCTGCACGAAAATCCTTCCAGAGGTTTCCTTCTCAAACCTGCATTCTCAAGCCAAGATGGATGACCATGAAATGCCGCAAAACCCTCCTTCTTTTCTCTTCTACTGTTTCCTCTGGAAGATCCTGCTCAGAAGATCTTGCAAAGGGTATATAGGACATGAGAAGGTCCCCAAGCACCGTTTTGCATAGCTGAGAGAAGTTTGAAGAAATCTGGATATAATTTATTGGCACGAGTGTCTCCTCCATCCCTAAATAATGGACGTCCTTTTTATTTTCTCCCTCTGCTCTGAGGACATCTTATTCCACCCGCCGTCTCAATGCGGAGCTTTTCGCCCCTCTGGAAACCTACCTGCCGGAAGACCTTGAGTGACTAGGGCTCCCAATGTATCTCAAGATGGCTAACACGAAGGACACGAAGATTTTGAGATATCCAAGGAGATCCGCTTCTTTTCTTTTCTTTTTTAAATGTGAATGTCAAGGCTGTCCCCGCAGGCTGGACAAACAGGTTGGAGATGATGGATGGATGGATGGATGGACACAGTCAAGATGAAAGATACCAAAATGTCAGACAGCCTACCGACTGTTGTTGCCATGACATCCAACAGTCAACATCAGTCTGATAAGCTATCCGACAGAAAGGTACACGCCAAGGAGGTGTCACAATGCTAGACAGGAAGGAAGGCGGGGGGGGGGGGGGGCAGGGGAGGGGCACACAAGTGGGAGAAGGTGGGAGACATACCACTCGCTTGACCAAAACAGAGGATAATCTGCCAGAAACCCAACTGCTCTGATGACCACGCATAAGGCGACCTTAAAAATAGATTTGGGCAAGATCAAGCATCCGCTAAAATCAACCGACTTTAGGTTAGCCAAAGCTGAGAACACCTTTAAAAAGAAAAAATGGAATTTCTACCAGGGACTCCTGTCAGGTCCAGTTCTGTCCCACCAAAACTTCTGAAGATGTTCTCCAGCAAACAAGAGGTTCTTCAGATGTTCTACACATTGGGACAGAGCAGGTGACCTGTCTTAAAGACAGGAGGGGGAAGTCATGACGTTGAGAAAAAGGAGGCGTCGCCCCACATCACCGTGCCAGAAAGGAGAAACTGTCTCCGTGCATAAGGAACCCAGGTGCCCAATCAGGCCCAACCCTCTATGAACCAAGCTATGTCCTCCCACCCACCCACGCTTTGGAAATGAGGAGGGTCTCCTTTTCCAGGAACACAGGAAGTGCCCTCCTCTGAATCTGCCTATTGGTGGTCCTTTAGATCAGGGGTCTCCAACCTTGGCCACTTTAAGACTTGTGGACTTCAACTCCCAGCAAAGCTGTCTGAGGAACTCTGGGAGTTGAAGTCCACAAGTCTTAAAATGGCCAAGGTTGGAGACCCCCTGCTTTCGATATAGGTCGGTCCTCTCCAATTTTTTCTGAGATGCAGGCACTCAAAACGAAGCAACTGTTTTATAACCACCCCACTTTTAGACAAAAAGAGGCACCGGGAAACTATCTTTGAATGTTGTTTATTCCAGTTACCTTTCCTTGCACCTTACAAACCAACTTCCTCTTGCGTTTCCTAAACACGGCGAGAGTTAAACCATTTTTTATAAAATCCAACACAAGGATGCTCCAGGTATCGGGGCTACCGGGTCAGTTAAATAAATAAAAATAACTGAACAATGTCCAAAAAAAAAAAAAAAATCCCACCCCGTTTAGTTCTTTGATCTGAGCAAAGAGTGGGAAAATCCAAAAACCGAGGAGAACTTGCAAAGGAGCAAGAGCAAGCATTCATTCAAAACAGGGTGGTTTTTTGTTTTTTTTTGAAAGATTGTTGCAGAGGAACTACAAATAAAATAAAATAAAAAAAATTGGGAGGGGAGGATTTAACCGGAATACGGACACACTCACAAAAAGGAGGAAGGACTCAGGACAGTTTTAAAAGACCCAAAACAGGGGAGTCTGGAATGATCTGAGAGGGTGTTGATTAATGCCCTTCTAAACAGGCCCAAGGGAAAGAAGAATGAAGCTCCCCACCCTTTCCGTGAACATGACATGGGGGAATTTCCAGATGTTTGTCAAAAGGGCCACCACCCCATCCCTAGTAAATCTTAAGATCGCCCAGGTTAAGATGAAGATGGCTTTTGCACCCTTCAAGGAGAGGCTGAACGTTAAACATCATGGACAGTAGCCCTAAAAGTTCTGGAAAGCCAGAAACTTTTCTTTAAAAATGAGGAAAAAAAGCAAGGGGGGAGGGAGGAAAAAAAACAAAAAACCACCCCAATCCTAAACCCAGCCATGTAGTCAATTCGGAAGTGGGGGGGAAAGCACATATGTAGAAAACAAATTAATTAATTAACATCGAAACAAGGGATGCATCTGCTACCTTTTAACGTGGAGACAGTGGCCTGCGGGAACCGTAACTAACGGCAGAGTTACTGAAACCAGAGAGTCCAGCCTTACCCGCCCTCCCCCCCATAACCCCGCCCCTCTTTTGCAAATGAGGATGATGATGATGATGATGACTATTATTAAACGCAAGGCTGGTTATTCCAGTGGAAGTTGGGGTGGGTGGGAATCCCTCCCTCCCTTTTCCTGATCCTGCTCATTTCGCTTTCCTCTCGGAGTTCATGCGTTGCTGGACACGCTTGTCGTAACTTTGGGCCATGGAGTTAATAATGGACAAGACAAAATAGCACACCATAATTATAACCAATTTCTCAAATGTCCAGGACAACCAGTTTTCACCCTGCAGAAAAAGAGGAGGAAGAGAGAGAGAGGGAGAGAGAAAAAAAAAAGAACATTAGGGTCATGCGTGCTACAAAAATACGGGTCGTCCTCAACTTATGATCACAATGGAGCCCAAAATTCCTGTCGCTCCGCTGGACGTTGGTGGAGCGAACTTTATCCCGTTTTTCAAACTTTCTTGCCACGGTTGTTAAGTGAATCGCTGCCAGGGTGAAATAAGTGGCACGGTCGTTAAGTGAATTTGGCCTCCCCACCAACTGTCTTGCCGCCGTTGTTAAGTGAATCACCATGGTGGTTAAAATAAGTGGCACGGTTGTTTAGCAAATCCAGCTCTCCCCATTCCGACTTCGCTTGTTGGAAAGTCGCAAAAGCGGATCGTGGGACGCTGCAACCGTCATAAATAGGAGTCAGTTGCCCAGTGCCTAAATTTTGATCCCATGACCGTGGGGATGCTTCAGCGGTCATAAGTGTGAAAAGTGGTCCTAAGTCACTTTTTTCAGTTCCGTTGTTGCTTTGAACGGTCACTAAATGAGCCTTGGTGGCGCAGTGGTTAGAGTGCAGTACCGCAGGCTACTTCTGCTGACTGCCGGCTGCCTGCAATTTGGCAGTTCAAATCCTACTAGGCTCAAGGTTGACTCAGCCTTCCCTCCTTCTGAGGTGGGTGAAATGAGGACCCAGATTGTTGGGCCCAATAGAGGCTGATTCTGTAAACCGCTTAGAGAGGGCTGCAAAGCACTATAAAGTGGTATATAAATCTAAGTGCTATTGCTATTCTTAAGTTGAGGACTATCTGAGTTGTAGGTTGACGGGAGGTAGGTTTGTTGGAAGCAGGGCAGGCTTGCTCAGCTCTTTGGGGTGGCCAAGTCCATGTTTCCTCCCAGAGCCATGCAGAAGGTCCTGGGTTCAATGGAAACTCCCATAATAAGGCTTGGTTGGGTGGTAGAACTTTGAGCAAGAATAACAGGCAATGCGGGAGGCAGCTGACCAGTGACCAATTCTATTACTGGAAAGAATTAATTGGCCGGTCGTGGGGAGATGAGTAATACGTGGGTCAGCATCCTTCCAGGAAGTTGCTTTGGCCTCCTCGGTTTCTCAAGAATAAATGTGGGAGTTATCAAGACTGGGTAATTTATCCAGACAGTTTTCGGCTGGCAGTGGTGCCCCAGGCAGCTCAGAGGCTTTTAATTGGAGCAGCCTAAGGAGAACAGATTCTGTAAAATGGCTTCTATAATGGATCAATGAGTAAGTCTGCATAAGAATAACAGAACAGAATAACAGAGTTGGAAGGGACCTTGGAGGTCTTCTAGTCCAATCCCCTGCTCAGGCAGGAATCCCTACACCATTCCAGACAAATGGCTGTTCAACCTCTTCTTAAAAACCTCCAGGGATGGAGCACCCACAACTTCTGGAGACAAGTTAACTTATTCTAACTGTCAGGAAAATTCTTCTTAGTTCTCGGTTGCTTCTCTCCTTCATTAGTTTCCATCCCTTGCATCTTATCCTGCCTTCAAATAGGACGAGAAGGGGTGTCATGATAGCAGCCTTCCAATATTTGAGGGGCTGCCACAAAGAAGAAGGGGTCAAATTATTCTCCAAAGCACCAGAAGGCAGGAAGAGAAGCAACGGATGGAAACTAATCAAGGAGAGAAGCAACGCAGAACTAAGGAGAAATTTCCTAACGGTGGGAACAATTAACCAGTGGAACAACTTTGCCTCCAGAAGTTGTGGGTGCTTCATCACTGGAGGTTTTTAAGAAGAAATTGAACAGCCATTTGTCTGAAATGGTACAGGGTTTCCGGGGGGGGGGGGGGGGGTTGGACTAGAAGACCTCCAAGGCCCCTTCCAACACTATTATTCAATTCTAGATGACAGGAGTTGCTGGAAAAAAAACTGACATGGTTCTCATTCCTTCCTGGGTGAAAGCCCCAGTTTGAGGACAGCCAACCATTCTGCTCCGTCCCCTCGGGCATCCATTAAAAATAAAAAAAATCGGTTGCAGAAAGTTAGTGTCAGCCATCCAAAGGGGGACTAATAACGGTGGAGATTTGGGAGGAAGTCTTATCAACTCCCAAGGTTTCCCTTCGAGACGCGGGAGGGCAGCGGTGAGCAAGTGAAGTAAAAAGTTAAGAATGAAAACCGCACTTTTCTATAATTCTCTAAGACCGGTTCGCTTTTCTCCTCTCAAAGGCCCAGCTTCCGGGGATGAATTAAGGTGAGACGCGCCAGGAAGGAAGAAAGAAATACAAGAAAGACTCTTCAACCAAACTAATAATACATGGCTAAAGAATCTTCCCGGGATTGAAATACGGATATATATAGATTTCTCAATTTTTTATTCACCGCCTAGCCACAATATTCTCAACGCAATCCATTTCTTAACCTGCTTAACCTAGAGAGATTCAGAGATTTTTGCTATTTACTCCTAATGCCAGCAAAAAAAGGGGGGGACGGGAGCAAAGTGCGACCCAAAGGTATTTAGGAAAGGAAAACAAGGTGAAGTTTCTTACCTGGGGGGCCTCATTGGCTTTGCTGTGCAGCTTGATCCGCTGAGCTTCCAAGTATTCTTGTAAAGGTTTTTGCAGAGATGCCCCGATGCCAGGCACCGAGCTATGGGTGAGTCGAGGGGGGTGGGGGCAGTTTGCCAGCGAGGCCAGGCATTTGGGGGAAGGGGGAAGAGGAGGAAGAGAAGGGGGTGGGAGGGAAAAGAGAGAGAGCACAAGAAACGTGATTGGAAGGGGAACAACTTACCCAATGAAAGCTTAAAAAGGGGAGAAAAATCAGCCCTCAGGGAAAGGAAGGGAAGGGGATGGCTCAGAAGACAGAAAAAAGCACGGGCTGGTGTAAAAAAATAAAAAAATAAAAATTAAGGGTGGGGGAGTTATTAGACCAGCGAAGAAAAGAAAAAGTCAAAAAGATGGGAGGAAAAAAATTGCTTTGGCAAGTTGGCAAGATCAGCTTAAAAAAAAACAAAAAAAACCCAGCCGGGCACAGAGAGGAAAAGTCTGGAGCTGCAGGCTGGCACTTCCTGAAGTTGGGCAACCCCCTGGGCATCAGGCCGGTGCCGGTTGGCACACTGGGTGACTTTAGAAAATTCCCCACCATTTATCACCCAGGGTTCCTGTAAGAACTGGTTTGAACCGATCAGCAAGGAAATGACTTGGCTGGTGTCAGTCGCCCTCGTTTAAAAAGGAAAGTGCACGCCTCCCCCTGGTGACCTGTCCAGAAGAGGCGGGCCTGCCCCAAACCAAGTCCTTATTAGGACAACTCCTGCGTCATCCCTCCCTCCCCTCCCCCCCCTCCCCCACCACCCCGAGGCCCCCAGGGCCTTATCCCGAAAAGAATGCATTCCCCGGGCTGCAAGAAAGGTACCTCCCATCAAAAGTCAGGCAATGAAAAGAAAAAAAGAAAAAACTCAAGAGGAAGAAGGCAAGGAAAAAAAAATGAGAAAGAGAGAGAGAGAAAGAGAACGAAGAAATAACAAAAGAAAGAGAATGAAAAAGAGTCAGAAAGTGGAAAAAAATGAAAAAGGCAGAGAGAGAAAGAGAAAGGAAAAAGAAAGAAAGAGAATAAAAGAGAGAGAAAGAGAGAGAGAGAGAGAGGAAGAAAGAGAGAAAGAGAAAAAGAGAAAAGAAGGAAGAATAAAAGAAAGAAAGAAAGATAAAGATAGAGAAAGAAAGAAAGAAAGGAAGGAAGAATAAAAGAAAGATAAAGAGACAGAGACAGAAAGGAAGGAAGAATAAAACAGAAAAAAGAGAAAGACAGAAAGTGAA